GGGGCCAGTTTGTGCGTGTTGCGTCCCATCAATGTTTCATCATCTCAACTATTCATCATTGGTAGACATACTGTTGACTTGGTGCTGGCCCCGCAAAAAAACAGCGTCTGATGTGGCAGGCAGACGCTGGGCCACGGAGCTTGAGTCACATGCAATGTTTCATCACATCCGCTGTCTACCTTGCGCTCGGCAATGCGCATTGCTTGCGTAATGCAACAATGTGGTGTCAACTGCCAAACAGGTAACCACCAGGCAAGCATTTTGAAACAACAAACCACACTGACACTTTGCATCTGCGCAATGATTTGTTTGTCCGGAGGACTGAACACTGCACCCAGTGGTGGTTGGTTTAAGCCAAATATGTTGCCGTGATTTACTCATCTTAGGCCTTGGGATTTTTGCCTCAGCTATCTAGTGTCGCTGTCAGTTCAACTTCAGCTAGTGATGGCTGGCGTGACTCACACCTGCAGAATCATGTGATTTGAACGATGCTGCCGTGCTGCACAAGGGCCAGTCAAAATTTCGAACAACACATCTCGCAAGCTACTACTGGTGTCGTCAATTGGCAGGTGGTTTCCACCCAATTATATACAGCTGTTTGTTGCGCACTGGCTCACACGGGGCAACATCTAGCGCATGAGCTACTGCAGGCGGAAAGGCGGCAAGCTTCAAAAACCAAACACTCATGGCCCATCTCAGGATCGTCGAATTACCGGTGCACTAATTCACTGATTCGCAGATCCGACTCGCACGCAGTCGGGTAGTGTTCCTGGGTTGCCTGAGTCCGAATCCGCGTCCGCAATCTCACAACTAGGGGAAAACCTTCGCCGCGCCCTACGGCCCTATATTGTTAGTCATCGTGATTCATGCGACTCATGATGTTGAGCAACCCAATGGGACTGGCCGACCGGAACCACCATGCGGTGGCCCGTTCCAACGTAATGCTGGGCTACCTGCGACACCCAAAAGGAAACAAGATTGCTGGCGCACCAAACGCTCGAGTTTGTTTGATGTGAGGCATGAGTCACGAGTCATGTCACGAGTGACACTGACACCAATCGGTGCGACGCAGGTCAAGTAGCTATACATTACATCACATGACTTTGCTTGCGGCGATCTCGCAAAGCTAGTTTGTTTAAAGTTCACTCTTTCAACCGTCAAGAGTCAAAAGTGAAGTTTCCAGTTAAAGTTGAAATGAAGGTGGCACCAGTCAACTATTGCGTTCCCACATGTTCACAGGTGCTTCTCTCAGCCTCTCAGATCTCGCACGCGTACACCCCGTGCACCATAGGAGTCACCGCGGTGCTTATGGCAAGCCACCAAAGGAAAGGGCCCCCCGAACACCAGGGCTTGTTGCAGAGGGGCGTGCGGTAAAAGAGTGGCGGTGACTGACGTTGAGACTGACATCATCCTCAGGAATCGGCGGGCTTGTGCCCTGAACAATCGTGGCCAACAACATAGACACACGCTGCTTAAGCTGCTTAACTGACTGGGGCCTGAACGCACAGTGCGCAAGCTTCCTATTTGACCATATTTGGCCAGCGCAGAGACTTGCGGGCGCGTGTCAAACTCATATCAATCCGACCCTGATCTGATGTCCAAAGACAAACTGGGCCAAAACTGCTATTGGCGCTGAGGGTGAGTCAGGCTCATGATTGATCCATCACGCGCGACGATTCCTGATTCATGTCTTTTCTTCCTGACTCATGGCTGATATAGAAATAACCTGCTACGGCCACAAATTGCCAAAATGCAAATATGGACATCACGTCAACTCTGATGAGATGATGACACTCATGGGTGGAGCAGCCCATCTTGTGACTTGCTTGACTCATTGTTTAACGACTTGCGCTTGCAACTGGCAATGCTGGTTGGAACCTGCAACTTGAAACACATGTCACTCCATCTCTGGGTGAGTTTTGCTAGGAGCAACCTTGAACTTGCAACACCTTAAGTGTGGAACCTGGGCTATTTTTCTTCGAACACCAGTGGTCGACTTCTTCTGTCTTTGACCTCGAGCGATGCCCTCATCTTGCGTCGGTCTTGTTACTGCTTGCGTATAGCGCCGGCTCCGACCAACTCTTCAAAACCAAGCAAACGCCCTGAACCAGCTTGAGACTTTTGGATTCGCGCGCGCCGCCGCTCACTGCTCGCGCGTCGCTGGCTCGTTGCGCGCTCGCCGCGCGCATTCCGCGCGTGCCGCCGCGCATCGCTCGCGCGCTGCTCGCTCGTTGCGCGCTTGTTGCGCGCTCACCGCGCGCACCCCGCGCGCACGCCGCGCGTACACTGCGCATAGCGCGCGCGCGTGACCGCGCGCCCTCGCCGCTACTGTTTTTTAAGGCCTGTCAGAGCATGACTCTCGGGTTTAGATAGCAAATGACAGAGAGCGGCACAGTCAAGAGCCGCGCTGAGCCCCGCACGGCAGTCGTCGCCTCGGTTAGCGGAACACTCCTCTTCAGCCCCGGGAGGCCGAGGTCGCAGGCCACGGCTCACCGCCCCTCCGGCGCTGCCCCGAGGGCCCGGCTATCGAAGCCTCGGCTTCCGCGCCATGCGCCCGGGGGCTCGAGGGCTCTCTGGGCGCTGCTCCGAGGCCCCGGCCCCCGAAGACCACGATGGAGTCCGTCGAGGCGCAAAACGTGGCGCTGTGACCTTTTCGCGCAGGTGGAGCCGCCTTCGCGGGCTTCAGGAGCTGCCATCTCTGCTCCTGCGGTGTGGGAAGAATTGTCTAAAAGCTGCTTGAACGCCCGTCTTATTCGGTAGACAGTTTCAGGTCTGGCCGCGCTGCTGCGCTTCAATGTAATGTTTGGCGCTGCATGCCAAGACAGAACGACGCTTGGCCTGTCATGCCTGTCAAAGGAAACTACTCAACTCCAAAGGAATGAACAAACAGGTATCATGATGTTCTGAGAGATGCTGGAGGCATGCAGTCAAGTCTGGTTTTGGCCTAGAAACTTTTCGATTGCGCTCGAGGCATGATGGCAGCTCTTAGCTGACTGAATAATTGATGTTTCGGACAAACAATGCCAGTTGTACGACATCTGGTGTGAGACCCTTTGCGGACTAATGTGAGAACACTGCCTTGTTGGAATGGATTGGGCCCGAGGATATAAGCGAACTTTCTTTGCGTGGCGCCATGTCCCGCAATCTCAACGTCCAGATTCATAAGGGTCACTCGAAGAGGCGCGAAGAAAGATCCCAGCCTGTGTTGGGCGCAAGAACAAGACATTTGCAACTAAGCCTGTTCTGGGGGCCAGGGAGATCGACACTCTCCTGTTTCCCCGAGAATGCGCTGGCAAGGTTCGTTGAGTGAGACGACATCTACTGATCGAAAAAAAAAACCGCCCGAAGGGGGATGAAGGGGGAATGGGGGGCCCCGGAAAGGCAAGAAAGCCATGATTGCCATCCCGCCGGCATGAATGGATCTGAGGTGGCAAGAGACGTTGAGGGCAGCAATGCACAAGTTGTCCAATGCAGGTAGTGCCTCACAAGTAAACGGCGGTCACGAGTCAGAGGCAAATCTCAACATTGAGACAGGCCAGAAGCAAGATCTGCAGACGATGACTGTGAAGATGCTGGAAGAGCTGACTGGATCGCCGGGGTCAATTTGTGTAGACATCCACAGCCGTACTGGGCAGGACAGGAGAGCAGCAGATCGGCATCCCAGCAAGCCAATGAGAGACTCCGTCAAGATGGCGCAGAGTGGAGAGCTTCACTGGGCGTAGCCGCCCTCAGGCCTTGGGCCTTGAAGCGCGGCCATGGAGAGGCGCCGCCAAAGCACCCAACAGCTCCAAACCAACTTTACTGAAACAATGAATTGGCATTGTTTCCATGGAACTGGCAAGGCAGTGCTGGCGCAAACAACCATTTGAGAAGTAAGTCGGGCGACAATCGCACGGAGTGAACAACGACAAACAAACAAGGGGTGTGCGATGATCGGCTGCTGAGCCCTCTTTGGAAATCAAATGTCGCCACATGTTGGCTTTCCGACCTGTCGGGTCGTATTTGTTTCTGTGGAATCAAGTTTTGAGCATGTACGAGTATAAGTTGTTCCCTACAAAGCTGTTCATCAAGAGTTGATTATCGTCGAAAGTCCTGTCTGAAGACTTGCAGAGAATTGCGGCAAGCCCAAGGCTAGGACAAGAGATTGTGAGGAAGAGTATATTGAATTTCTGCCTGCAACCTAGAACTCGTGGAGACCTTTATCCCAGCGATACTCTGTGTTTGGGCGGCGGACGCAGGTGGTTCCGTAGAAAGCGAACTGTCAACGCTTTCCACATTCAACAACAGCCCAGCCTGGAAGTCCAAACGCCAAAGGTCGGCAACTGAGCGAGAATGAAATCAATACCGCGCATTCTGGCAGGACTCGCGCCAAAGATCTGCTCACAGCGCGGGCGCACTCCGTTTCTATCACCAAGCCCCGGGCGGTCTTCACCTCGGCTCGCAGTCGGGCGCCGCCCGAGACGGCCCAAGCCGCGGCCCTTCCCCCCGAGGCCCAGGCCGTTGTAGCCTCGGCTCGGTGCCGCGCAGTTTGTCGCGAGGAGCAGCTCCGGGGCCCCGGGCCGCCGAAGATGTACATCGCCCCACCGCCGTCAGTCGGGCAGTAGGTGGCTGTGTGGCTCCGCCGCGGCTTGGGGCCCTTCTCCGTGGGGGACAGCGCAGTCCAGCTCGTGGCCTCCCAGGCAGCCAAGACCCCCCACAGTTCGTGGAAGGCCCTTGCAATCTTTCATGAGACAGATGCGTAGCACCCCTGCCGTCTCTTGATTGATGTGACATTTGCTCCGTCAACAAGGCACCAGCATTTTCAGCTCGGACTGACGCTGTTGAGCGGCCCGCGCCTGAGCCATCTTATCGCAGCAAGTGGCCGTGGCACTGGGTCGCAAATGGGCAGCGCGATCTCTGGAGTGGCCGCGGAAGGCACCGTTGGCACACGCTTGTCTGCCAACTCACGCACAAATCAAGGCATGGCTGCACATAACATTCCGACTGGCCCACTGTTCTTTGCACTTTTACATTCCAGCTATCCTCCTCTGCGCAAGGCTTCACCAGCTATCTGGGAAACCTTCCGCGAAAGCCAGTGCACCAATACTGAAAGCAGCCTGCAGAACTGAGATGGCCTCCTGGGCAGTTCGACTCTTTGGAAACTCACATCGCCACCCAACTGCAACAACTTGCTCACGTTGGCCACACAAGTGAAAGTAACGGACCTTCTCCACAACGTCCCGGCACCTCTGTTTCCTACAGCGACGGCCTGCGGGCATGAATGCACCCATGCTGTTCCTCCCTAAAGCAGAGCATATTCAGGCAGGATACACGCATGCTTAGCATTATTTCTGTTCACCCGCCAAAACTTTCACTGGTTCATCATGCACTGCTTGTCACTGACACTGTCCTTGAAACCCTAGCGCTTGCAAGACGTCGAGGCGTGGCGGCACTTGGCGGCACTTGGAGCACCAGCCTGGCTGCAAATGAGCCAAGAGGTGACAGCTTGTGATTGGCATGAATAGCGGCCCCCAAAGCCGCTTGCTTGTTGCGATCTATTATCAAATGCATACTTCGAATTGCGCAGGCAAAGGAGGACCCCAGTCATGCGGCCACAAACAGACCGACCGGCAACTTGCTGGCTACTAGACTTGATGCCCCTGATTTCGTTCTGATTGCCAAGCCTTCCCTGCTAGTCATGGCAGCCAGACTCATCGGCACGTGCATCCCAGACTGCGACGCACAGTAGGTTCAATCCGAGCAGTCTCCAAAGCAAAACAGCCAAGGAGACCCATTCTGCAATGCCGCGGATTCAAGCACATCAGTTCTCAACTTGAGTGCCATCCAGCCTTGTGGCTGGCAAAGGCTCATGCCCACCTGCAACCACGTGCTGAAAGACAAACAGCTGAAGTCACACACACACACACACATGACCAGCCAACCGACCGACCGGCCGGCCGTTTGCACACACCCACCAACCCACCAACCACCAACCCACCCATCCACCCGCCCGCCAGCCAGGCAGCCAACCAACCAACCAACCCCATCCACCCATCTACCCACCCACCAGCCAGCCAGCCAGCCAGCCAACCCAGCCAGCCAGCCAACCAACCAACCAACCAGGCGCGCCAGGAAACCAACAAGCAACAGCTCAATTTGTCAAACATTTCAGCGTTGCATTAAGGCTGCTTCCAAGAGCATTGAAACGCGCAACCGACGAACAAACAAAGCGCACGTCCAAAACAATTTGTTGCACAAGCTTTCGTGACTGTCATGTCCGTAATATTGTAACATAGAATGAGAAGTCAGCCTCAGGCTCACTTGCGTCTCCTCCAACATGCGCACGACGCTCCGCACCGACGACACAAACTTTAAGGCACGCAAAGATGCAGGGACCAACTTGAACAGCGCAAGGTAACCGTAGACCTGGCCTTGTCATAGCGCGCTGCCAGCGGGACATCACCTTGTGGACCTCTTTCAAGCGTGCAGCAGGTCATGCCTCAGTGGCAAGGCAGAATAGCTCACCAAAGGGGCAAAGGCAAGCCAAGCTCTTTGCATCCATGCCCGAGGATTTTCCAAGGTGAGTTGAATGTTGCATCTTGGGAGGTTTGCAGTTGGCATGCGCCAAGTTTCTCAACACGGACTAAAACGCGACCTTTCAGGCAACCGAAGCGCGGCCTCAGGCTTCACGGCCTGACACCTCCAGCCTTTTGGGCCCCTGGGCCCCGAGGCGCAGGTGTCCGGTCTTAGCGTCGGAGAGCTCAGCAAATGCCGACCAACCTCCCTTCGGGGCGCGACACCGGATTCGGCGTTTCAAGAGACTGGCACAAAGTAAATGGCTCAAGCGTGGCGCCTCCAACGTGTTGCTTGCAATGTCGAGTTGCTTATGCAAAGCCTGCGAACAGCCCCTGGTTTCACAAAAGTGACTTCCTCTGGCCTGCACAAAAGGCATCGGTGATGAGTTTGGGGAACTCGCCGGTCAAAACCTTTGAGAGCCCGACCCGACTGGATCCCGGGCTTGCAGGTGTAGATGCGGTCGTAGTCGCAGCTCACGAGCTGCGCGCTCACCTCGGCCATGGGCCCAGAACCCCTCGAGGCAACTTCCGATGAGCAAAGAGTCGACATGGTTGAATGACATGCAATGGCAAGGGGCCCTCCTTCGCAGGTGGTGGGACCTAAAACTGGTTTACTAAAAACATACCCTTTTGGCTTCCATCTTCAAACAGATCCAAACCTCTCGCAATGAGACCTTCCGCTTCTTTCTTCGCCGGTGGCCGCCGGATCTGACCTGTGATTCTGAGTGGGTTCATCTGACACAAATTGCAAGAAGAGGCATCTTGATAGAAAACATGGAAACATGCATGGGAAGGCGGGCGCTGCAGACCTAAACTGTCACAGCTTCACAATGAAGATCAACAGGTGCTATGTTCGATTGAGAACAGGCACACTAGTTGGCCCCTGAGCTGAGAAGGTATCGCGTCCATTCACACGCCATGTTGTCAAAGGGGCAGCAAGTCATCACTGGTCAGCACATGCAGCCCCAACCTCGCTGACTCCCCCTCAGTGAAACAAAAAGGAACCAAACAAAATGTAGGCGTTTCTCTTGCAGAACAACCAAGAGTTCGGCAGAGAAAAAAGCGAGACACAAAGCAAAGTTTGAAAGACCGGGGGAAGCTAAAATGAGCCACTACATCCCAAGCCAAACCGACCGGAACGCGCCTGCTCGCTCTTGTTGAAGCTTTGGAAGCCCACGGTGCCATCCCAACCTGGCCGTTTTGGGTGTCGAAGCTTGGCAAAGAACTGAACTGGCGGGGTTGAACACCTGGGGTCCTTTGGACAAAGACATGTGCCACATTTCAAGAGAGCCCTGGGGTCCTGATTTGGACACATGCACACTAAAAGGAGCACCCCATTGATCAACCAGGTTTATCAATCCAGGGGTCCCATTGAGTGATTAGAGCCCAACTGAAACCAGTGCCAGCTATTCTTTACCAAGCCAGCGTTTGCGCATACACCCCTTGAACAAGTGAGACATTTTTCCAGCGATACCTTCTCTTGAAAACCAGAAGGGGAAAATAATGTATGTGCGCTTCCTCGCTCCCAAAAAGGACCCACAAAAACAAAGTGAAGTCCCATCACCTTGCGTGACAAGCCGTCGCCACCACCCGAAGCCCAAACACGGCCACTGTTGGGTACGTTGTTGGAAACGAGAGCCAGCAATCATCGCAGAGCTCTGCCGGTGCCTGCTGAACATGTGCCAGCCAAACGAATGCTGGGCCACTGAGCCGAACGAGGTGTGTCGCACTTCATGGGATTTGACCGCGGACAGAGGACTGCGTCATAGGTGAGTCCGTCTCCGTCTCTGCGTAACACCCAACAAAACGAATCCGTTTAATTTCCCACTGAATCCATATATTATCAAGACTCCTGTGCCATGTTCATTGTCCCCGGAGTTGGGTAGGCATCCCCTGAAAATCTGTCGGACCAACGCTTAACCCCCGTGGCAAAACATGACAGAGTCTATGGGTTCAAGATCACTCCGTGAAAATCACTGGATCCTGGTTCACGCCTGGATCCCCCTCATTTGAATGCCGTACCTTGGACAAAATCCAAGCAGTGTTGACATCAATTTGTCTATGCCTTTCTTTCCGGCAAGGCATCTGGAACACCATGTCATTCTTGTTGTCAACCCTGTTTTGTCGGGAAGTTCGCAAGACAACAGCTATCAGGAATGTGCAAGAAGATTGTAATAATTTCATGTCGGCAAATGCGAATCTACAGTTGCCCGTGTTACAAATGCCATCGATGCATGTTGCAGCATTGCTGTACATGCCTCTTTGCTTCCGTGGGGGCCCTTTGAACTAGTGGTAGTTGTAGCATATGGAAAGGGCGGCCACGACAAAGCGGCAAGCGTCGCAGATATGTCACACTTGATATGATCCGGCGCCCTTCTCATGCGCAGGCAGCATTCGTGAGGTGTGAGGACGACTTGCCCACAGCGCGTAGGGCGAAGTGGGGCCATCGGATGGCATCCGATCCGAGCCCCAAGGTCTAAAGTCGGTGGGTTCGACGCGCTCCAACCTCGCATAAACGAATCCATCCCGAGAGACTGAACCAAATGTCTGCCCAGTTGGCTGCGATGTTCAGTGTAGCAACCTTGCATAGTAGGCAGATATCTATTTGCCTCTGGCGGCTGACTTAGGCCTGTAAAAAGAGGCCATCTGTCATGGAAGAGTCGGCGGCCCACTTGACGGCTTTTGCATGTGCTTTGGGCGCTGGGGACTTCAGAATCTGGATAACTAGCGGTTCGGTGAGGTTGCCAGCAGCCACCGAAGAGGCTTGGCCAAAAAAACCAACAACACAGACCGAAGAGGCTTGCGAGGCCGCAAGGCCGGAAGAGGTGGGCGCCGATGTTTGGACCGGTAACCCAGAAGCCAAAGAGAAACTGAATCTCATGGCAGGTGTTGGAGACAAAACGCTTGTTTACCTCCCGCAGCATTTGTCTCGGCTCGGTCAGTTGAGCAACCCGAGGGCCCCCCCGCGTGAACGCAGGAAGTGTCATGGCTGCCGAACGCAAAGCATGTAGCACGATCTCGATCCTCGAACTGATTCCAAAACTTGGCAATAAAGCCCACAGCCCAGAATTCCAAGACTGGGCTACAACGCCCACAGTCCAAAATTGGGCTACGAAACAACCAGCTCCAAGCGCAGCCAGGCCTTGATTGCACAGGATATTCTATAGCCCCCTGTCACGAGTCCACATAAAACCACTTTCTCCCATCGAAACCCACAACGCAACACAAGACTCCTTTTCTGAACCAATTCCCCAACTCTTCCCACCTTGTCACCACTTGTTCTCAGATTCTGGGAAAGCCTCCTGGGGCCAAATCAGCAAGAAAACATGTGGAATTCAGGGGAACAAATACTTCTGTGGCAGGAAAGTCGCCCTGGTACTTCAATTTGCCTATCGCGCTCGAGCTTTCAAATTTCGATGTTCCTTGTCTTCATCTTGACAATTGTGCCTGGACCACTCCGCTTCTTTCCGTGGCCAGTGCGACAACCTCTCGACTCAACTAATTTTGAACAGCGTCATGTCACACCGCCAAAGTATCCACAACAATTGACATGTCCATTCGACTGTGCTCCTTTGGAAGAGCTTCAGCGAACACATCACCTCAGTCCGACCCTATTGCCTCATCTTGATTCACTCTGTAAAACAAAACGCCGATCTTCATACAATATACCGCGAATGTTAGGCAACATTTATGCACACATACACTCACACTTGCATCCTCGCAATTCATAGCATATACACTTTGATCAACACCGGATATACAGATAGACGAAACTCCCTTATCCAATATCAGGAAACAACAAATGAGCTGAACTCAAAGTAATATGCAGTAACCTGGCAAGTATCTTGTCAAATATAATTGACACTCATTAAACACTATTGCTAACTATGTGTCAAACACAAGCATCATGATCTCATCAAAATATTTTTTCACCCTTTCCAACATGAGCTGCCTGTCTCTGGCACCTCCGTGTTCCTGGCTGAACCAAAGCCCCGGCAAAAAGAGATCCATGCAACCACAGAAAACGGAGAGTATTGGCTTCAACCCAGAGCACGAGTGTAGCCCGCCCCCCCAACGTTTAGACACATGCTATCAAAGGGCGAAGGTCTTATCCTGTTTGGCAAAGCTGCTACGCAATGCAACAGTCCAAACACAATGGAGCAGCGCTCGGGAACATTCAACTTGTCCACTTCTTGACTTCTTGGCCTGGGTTTAAAGTTCCAAACATTTCATAGAAAAGCTTGACCCATGTTCTTCGTTGAAAGCAAGCAGCTGCGCCCAGTGGCGGTTGCCCCTGGCCGCGCTGACTGGAGGTTTGGGCCCCTGGGGTGCGACACCCGGGCCAGCCGATGACGTCCACAGTCTCAGGCCCCACTGAAGCCGCAAGCCGCAAATCGAGGAAGTTGCACGATCCACGTGGGCGCCATCACACTGCTGCGGATTTCCGAGGCGCTGTCGACTATGCGTGTGTCTTTTCCAAGCCACCAGTCGAATGGGCGCGCACCCTCTTGGCCATCCGGCCGTTCCTTGCTTCCTTGCTCCCTTCATCCTTCCATCTTTCCTTCCTTCCTTCCTTCCTTCCCTCCCTTCCTTCATTCCTTCCTTCCCTTCCTTGCTTCATTCTTACTTCCTTTCTTTCTTCCTTCTTCCTTTCTTCCTTCCTTGCTTCCTTCCTTGCTTCCTTCCTTGCTTCCTTCCTTGCTTCCTTCCTTCCTTCCTTGCCTCCTTCCTTGCTTCCTTGCCTCCTTCCTTGCTTCCTTGCTTCCTTGCTTCCTTGCTTTCTTGCTTCCTTGCTTCCTTCCTTCCTTCCTTCCTTGCTTCCTTGCTTCCTTGCTTCCTTCCTTCCTTCCTTCCTTTCTTCCTTCTTCCTTTCTTCCTTCCTTGCTTCCTTCCTTGGCTTCCTTCCTTGCTTCCTTGCTTCCTTGCTTGCTTCCTTGCCTCCTTGCTTCCTTGCTTCCTTGCTTCCTTGCTTCCTTGCTTCCTTGCTTCCTTGCTTCCTTGCTTCCTTGCTTCCTTGCTTCCTTGCTTCCTTGCTTCCTTCCTTCCTTCCTTCCTTCCTTCCTGCCTTCCTTCCTTCCTTCCTTCCTTCCTTCCTTCCTTCCTTCCTTCCTTTTTCATGTGTTTATGTCATGTCATGTCCTGTCCTGCGCTGTCCTGCACAGTCATGTAGTTCATTCATTCAGTCATTCGTTCACTCGTTCGTTCACTCGTTCATTCATTCATTTCATTTCATTGATTCGATATCAGTTGATTTAAATTCATTGATTCATTGACTCATTGACGCATTGTTTCGTTTCATTTATTTCAATTCAACTCATTCCATTCCATTCCATTCGCTTCATTCGCTGAAACCATGCTTTTCATTTGCCAAGCGTCAACATCCGTCGCCCCAACATGCGCCAGCTGGCCATCCGAAACGCCTCATGAGCTTGTGAGTTCGTACATTCCCAGCCCGGAGCCCGGCGCCAGCCGAGAGCCCACCCGGGCCCAGACCGCCCAGCCGCGCCGCGAGCGCCCAGTTGCGCCAGCCTCAGAGCAACGATGGGATGAACACGCGGTGCTTCACTCGTTGCGTGTGTTGAATAAATTGGTACACTATCTATACAGGATTCGAAAGGACATTTCATCATAGGAATTTATAGGCATCTAAGTACATCCACTATCATGGTATTGAGCCGAGCCATTTGCCAAAGGAAAAGTGACGTTTAACATGATGTGAAGCGTTGCTGGAAAAGTGAATGCAATGCATCAGCGCTTTATCGACTTAGGCAGTCTCTGCCTGTCGAGAACTCCTCTGTACCAGAAGACGCCGCGCTTAATCGGTGTATCTTTGTGGCGCCTAAAAGAGGGAGGGTCCTAGTTGTTGGAGCGCAATACTCACCCGGCACCCGGGAATTGGTGCTCAGTGCATCATATTTTTGAGGACAGGCACAGATTTGCCTCTGCGGAAAGCTTACACTTCACAGAAGTAGTCGGCATTCACACAGGAAAAGCAGATGGTGTTGCTTCATAGGCAGGGAAATGGTTGGGCACAATCACCCATGTTTTAGCATTCATGATGTCCATCAAATGGCCGCAACATATAGCATCCCATGGCCGCCCACATCCCCAAGTCAATACACCTCAAATCATCAACATTTCTTTCGGGGACAGATTGTGGGGGAACAGTTTGTTAAAGACTTTGTCATCTTGGGCCAGTTTTGCGCTTTTGACGTTTTTTGACGGATTCTGTCGGTTTTTGTCGGTTTTTGTCGGGTATTTGTCGGTTTTTGTCGGTTTTTGTCGGATTTTGTCGGCAACTTGTCATTTTCAACGTTTGGCTTTCGTTCTTGTTCGTTCCTTTAGCTTAGTGCTTGCTGTTGTTGCTGTTGTTGCTGTTGTCAATTGTTAGTTGTGTGACGTTTGTTGCTGGTTGTTTACTGTTTGTTTGTTTGCTTGTTTGTTTGCTTGCTTGCTTGCTTGTTTGTTTGTTTGTTTGTTTGTTTGTTTGTTTGCTTGTTTGTTTGTTTGCTTGTTTGTTTGTGTTTGTCTGTTTGTTTGTTTGTTTGTTTGTTTGTTTGCTTTGGTTGCTTGGTTGGTTGGTTGGTTGGTTGGTTGGTTGATTTGTTTGATTGATTCATTGATTGATTGATTGATTGATTGATTGATGGACTGATTCATTGATTGATTGACTGACTGACTGTTTGAGTCATTCATTCACTCACTCATTCATTCATTCATGCATTCTTTCATTCAGTCAGTCAGTCAGTCAGTGAGTCATGCATTCATTCACTTCAATCATTGAATTCCTTCAGTCATTCATCCATCCATCCATCCATGCATCCAT